TGAAAAGAGCCAGAGCATTTTATAATGATGACCAAGTCACGTGTGAATAACAGGTCTTTTAAGAATTATCCATAATTTGAGTTTAAGACCTGCTTAAAGGCATGTTCATTATTATGTAATAATTGACAGTTAGAGTGGAATATCATTGAGATCAGATGCTTGTTTTTTTTATTGTTGATAGTAATAAGAATATGAAGTCCAACAAATCCATGTGAAACCAAAGATGCTTCAGACCTCCACAGTTTAACAGCTCTGTATGCAGGGCACCTCTCAGGGGCAGGCTTGGCTGTGCATTCATGAGTAGGTGCTCAGTAGCAGCAGCAGAACATGGAACATGTATTACATAATCTGAAGCCTATAATGAATGGAGTCTTATCCAACATTTGGAGCAGCACACACAAAACAAACAAAACAAAAAAAAACAATGGGCGCATGTCACCTCTTTGAAACTGCATTAGTTCCATTGTGTTTAAATGTATTTACTTCTTTTTCAAATTCTGGTTTTGGACACATTTCCTGATCAAAACTTCCTCAATGTTGATCCTCCAGCGCATGTCCATAGGAAGAGCTGAGGGTGACCCCTGATCTCCTCCTGTGGTGTTGACACACACACCGCAACAGAAGCACTGTGCCCTTGATCCACCTATAACAATAAGGGGAGTGCCAGGCTTTCACCTGCACACCTGCTGGACACCACAGCTGACAACACAGCATTTTATAAAATATGGTCAGAAACTTTATTAGCAGCATCAGCTATACATTTGCCAGCTACTTACAGTTCTCATACCATTCTTTAGAATAATCACAAGCCCACTGGGAGACTCCAGTGGTTCCATTCAATCAATGTACTGCATTTTTCACAATAAACCTGCTGCTACACACAAAAGTACTTTAAAACAATTGAAAACCAAAATACTTAATATGGCATTTACATACAAAAATAGTTTACTGCTGTTTACTAATTTACATCTGAGCACAACTTTGCCTTTTCCCTCATTGCTACCAATTCTGTCCTTACACAACCTCCAAACTTTAAGTTTCATAATACATTTTCAGTGGATATTTGCTGGAATAAATAAACTCAAAAGTCATAATACAAGAATACATTTCCCCTGTGAACAAATGTGATTGTACGACTTCACCAAAAGCAAAAACAGGAAGCATTGTCTGAGGTACAGTTTGGCTGTGTTCTATTAAAGACAGTAACATTCTCAGCATACCACCATCTGCAATGAAGGAGAGCATGGCCGAGTGCCAGCCTCCCTCTCTGCTCCTGCTCCGCAATGTGCCCATGTGACAAAGGTAGAGTAGGCAACACTGCAGCCTCACCAACTCCACATATTCTCTCCTTTTAAAACTACTGCATATTTATCCGCATCTCTGCTACAAGCCACTGCCAGTCACCCTCCAGCAAGCTCCCGTGACTTGGGCATAATGAAAACCCCTTAAGAAATATACTGGGTGGTGGGGATTTGAAACAAAGCTGGTGGAGAGGATAAAGGGCAAGTGAGCATAACAGGGAGGACATACGATGTTATGGGAGATTTTGAAAGGCTTACTCCCAGTTGAGTCTAACATAGACTGACAGGAAAATATATGGGCGAATGAACAGCAGTTGTTGTTAAAACAGGTTTCTGTCATATTAAAGACGCATTATAAAGGATCATATGTATGTCAGGGATGTGCCGAACAAATCTGAAGCGCAGCGTTAGCTAAGACAACAGCTAGCACAGCACACAATGAGTCACGCAAAAACAGGTGGAATCTCAAGACTAAAGCGCCGCCTTTGATAAGCTAGTAAACAAAGCATTAGCATGACTTTTAGCCACAACAATCAGCAACAGCAGTACACAAAAATGTAAAAAAATATGCACTTTTAAAAAACTGTGCAAACTCTTTGTTATAACCCCAAGCAAAACTGGAATGGCTAGGTCAGTCATTTTTGCATCATGGTTACATCCAAGTTTGTCAACAAAGCATTTCATAATTCCTTCAACTGCCTTATCTAGTGAAAGATTAATATGCTTTTACAACCAATTTTTACATACATATATATGTATATATATAATATATATATATATATATATATATATATATATATATATGTATATATATATATATATATATATATATATATATATATATATATATATATATATATATATATATACACACACACAGCACTGTGTGTTTTTAGAAAGAGATAACAGACGACTAAACAGTTTACCAACTCCATAATAAAGTTGTGATTGAACTGAGAGAACTGGCAATGAGGTGAACCCCAGCGGCCCACAGCACAGCCCAAACTCAGCATTTCTCACACAGACTCCTCAGGCATGCAGCCCCCTTCCTCTGTGAAGCCTTTTATTCTCATTCAAGCCTGTTTGTGCCCCAACCGTTAGCCATTCAGTTTGCTCATTGTGCTGTTCCCTGCTTTGAGCCCAAAAGCATGTGGTGGCATGTGAAACTGAACCCTGTCATACATGTATTTAGCATAACTGGAATTTGTGTACACATTATCAGTTACTTACTTGTGGTGTTGCCTTGCATCTGGATGATACATTTTGATTCTTTGCTTGTTTCCCTTGAATTGAAGGGACGAACCCGGACAGCGACCTTTACAGATGCCCCGGACATGCTGGCAGCTCTAGGCCGACCCTTTATACAATTATGTGTATCCTTCCTGTAAGAAAAAGCAGGAAGTTAATTAATACGCCATAGAAGCATCTGTTTACCTGAACAGGGAAACAAAAATATTACTAAGTGTTTTCTTGAAATTCATTTTTTTCTTCTGGCAGGTTTCCCCCCAGGCATGTTTTTATGTTTCTCAAATATTTTAAGTAGACTACGAGAACTGGTTTGAGTTGGTGTTTGCACAACATAAACACAGTGGAACAGCACTAGATCTAAACAACATAGGAAACACATACAAAAGCCTGTCACTTGAAACAGTGCGGCCTTTATTTCTGCCACCCCAAATGTCTTTCTAATGCACTCAACCCAATTAATATCTATACATCTTTCACCCCATGTTTTCCTCGTCCTTCCAGTCAGTCAGCCATACTTGCTAAAAGCATACGCCCATGAAATCCTATCTGCCCATTTGCAGTGGACCACAGTGGGATAGAAAGCAGGGCCTAGCCGCTACATCTAATGTTGATATTGTACAGACAGGGGAACAGCTGGAGAGCTTTCTCTGTCCCAAAATTTTAATTCGCTGATTACAGGAAGTAGGCTAGTCTCATCCCCACTGCTGCTGCTGGTTGGCAACAACTGCATATTTATTTAGCAATAACTTCCAAATAGTAGCTCTCTGATAAAAGTCATTCATACACCTATTTTAATACATGTCGCTGATTTTTAAGGGTAGTGTATTCCAAAACAAAAATGCGCAATGACAAATGGGATTTCAGTCTTGTCTATACAAATCCTACCCACTCATCAATATAACGTAATTAGATGAAGAAACATATACATATATGATACTTAATACTGTATTTAGTTGCAATATTACATCCAAATGGGTGCCAATGGATAATTAAGAAGTAACGGACCAAAGTATCAGGCTCCCAGACAGAGACACTTGCCTGTGTATGACTAGCTTACAGCTAAATCTAACAAACTACCGAGCGACAGCTGGCACTCTATTCATCTGTAATACCTCTGTTGTGCATCGTGAGTCCAAACTGCTCATCAAATGATGTTACTTACCCTTAAATAATCTCACCGAGGTCACACCAAAACCATAGGATAGCGGCGAGTAGTATCGTGAGCTAGCAGGCGTCAAAATTTGTTGTTTTTATCACAATCCCGTCTCATGAAATCTGCTAATAAGTCCGCGTAGATGCAAACCACCCATTATAAAGATATCCTCCGGTGGATTATCACTGAAATGTTGTTTAAATCCTTAGTTTGTATTTTTTTGTTGAAGGCGGACGTCTTTCTGCGCCCGAGCGGAGAGAAGAATTGATGTATCGCTTGATTTACCGAAGAGATTACGTCAACTCCCTCTGTGCGTGGTAAGTGGCAGTTAAGCCGACCAATCAGAGACAAGATATCAGTGTCTAATGTTGCAGATAGCCAATAGTAAGCCAGAGAATCAGAGATCTTGGGCGGGGCCATTTTTTCCCAACGTGACGCCACACTGCAGGATTTCTCCCACCGCTCCCAGTACTGTCACCGCAACACCCACTGTGATCATAAAGAGCGCCACCCAGCGAATAAAAAGAGCTTTACCTAAAACCCGGGGTTTCTTTATGAGCGTCACTTATTTGGCATGTGGATTATTTCTAGAACATGTTAGAAAATACAGTACCGTTGATTTAAGGAGATAACAGCAAAGCAACTTATAGAAACCAGAGACACGTGACGAAATCAAACCTATGTAACATTAAGTAGACACAATTTGTATCATTTTTATATCAATTATGGGTTTAAAACACATTTAACACATTATCTACATTCCTCGTCTAAGGCTTCTTAGCTAGAAATTATGTGCAAATCTTAACAACTCCTGAAACTCTTGCAGAATGCATTATATGCGATTACATGATGCATTGCCCAGTGCGGGGTAACAAATAGTTGACAAGTTGTGTACATATGTGCATCATTTATTTCAATCAAAACTTTAGTTTCCAAAACCAGTATGTTATATGAAATGACTTCCTGTACAGTTAAGGTCACTAAGATCATGTTAGGTACCATGTGATTCAAGAGGCTGTTTCTGAATAGGGAAATCCAGGGCTCATATGAACAGAGTTGGTTACAATATGCTCCTAGTGTTCATGCTACATTCATAGGTAAATTTAGCTTGGACAGTTTCTCAGTCTAAGAATTTCAAATCATCAATACTGCAGCTGCTAGAAGGAGTACGATCTGAAGTCTATAATTATAGGGCTAGGTCACTAATTATTTGAAGAATGGAAACACTGTCGTGATTCTGTCACAAGTAGGGGCTAGCAACTCTATTAAGCCCCAACCATGCTCCCATACACAGAAACTTCAAATAATAACTTTAATGGCTCCAAAACACAGTATTACAATCAAATGAGAAGCAATAAGGAAAACTAGCCTCAGCGATAAACCTGTTGTAGGAAAAGTCCTTTTGCAGCATATAACAATATCATTAGGTCTTGTTCAATATTTGTAAATATTTATACTATATTTTTACATAAAACTCATGAGAAAAAACGTAAAAGTTTTAGCTTTATTATATTTTTAACCACGATAATGGTTTGTGACAAAGAGGGTAAATGCATGAGGGAAAAACAAATCAGGTCTCCTTTCTCATTAAAAATGTTTTAGGTGATTTGGGACCAATCCCTTACTGAAGTCTAGACAGGTTTCATCTTGAGGTCATTGCCGGCCACTCTGCTTCTCTCTCATCCAAGCATGGATCCTCTCCTTTAGCTCAGGAACTAGAGAAGACATTTCAATTAAGATCAGTTCCTCAATGACAACAATGATCTGGACTGGTTCAAAGGTCACGAGCAGAACCATGCTTGTGGTTACCTGACTCCAGCATGCTCTCGGTCAGCGGCTGTCTGTTGAAGGGGTCAGTGGGAGAGTTGAGCAGGTGGCGCAAGATGATGGATCGATCCATAATGTTCCCAGAAGGCAGCATCACAGGGTCAGTCATCAGAGTGTCCATCAGAGGGTCTGTTACCACAAAGACACATGGATAATAAAATACACACATGATCTCCTGCCACATTTGCTTTCAGTGATATTTGCCAGGGCTATTATTATGTGCTGTTAGAGAGTGACCATATTAGTATTTTTTTATTATTATTTTGTTTATTACACAACATTTAGAATGTATATTTTTATAACTGATTTAAGCAAAAGCTGTTATTGCAACTACAATTAGATTAATTGTACAGCACTAAAATACAATTAAGACACTACAGCATGCTTTGGTCATTGTAACAACTAATTATGGGAAGTTGCTTGTTATTATGAAAGCCACATGGTGGATATATCAAATAAAAACAAGTAGCCTAGATTGAAATGTCATAAGGTTGTTACAGTAGAACTTGAACGCCACAAAAATAAAACTGGTGCGGGGGATCCCGACCACAATGAAAGCTGATCCTCAAACCTCCTGTCCAACACACTTTACCCGACGGCGGTGGGTTCATTGGTGAATGTGAATATCAAAGGAGGTATGCAGAACACATTCTCTGTCTAGATTATATTAAGTCTGTGGTCAGAGCGTGGAATAGCTCTAAGCCGACTATATGATCTCCGTGAGCCACAAAAATCCTTGGCAAATGTCTGGAATTCCACAAAGACACAAGCTGTGAGGATCCTGGCTGTCCCCACTGGGTCATGAGGGTCAGATTTATAAACCAGGTTGTGCAAACATCACTGCACTATAACTGTCTTTGTCATAATAAAAACCTAAATATTTTAATCTTATCTTTTAAAAAGGGGTTTGATTAAATGTTTTTCCTCAAAATTGCATACCCTTATCAAAATTGCATTAACTAGTCCCTTATAAAGCGCAGGAAAGTAAGAGGCACACACCTTTGAACTCATCTGGTGCATCGCTGTAGTCCATTTCAGACTGGGAGTTTTTGGCGACTATTTCTTCCACTTTCTCTGACAGCAGCTTAAATTTCTCAATGGCTATGGAGGATTTTATACCAGCTTTTCTCATCTTTGAGATCACCTCTTCAAAGAGTTCTCTGCTGTAAGAACGCTAAAAACAAAACAAAAAATATGTCAGAAAAATACTGCAAATGGGGAAGGTTTTCTCCGATTGATTGTGTATAAACAGTTCCAACAAGATATTAAAGCTTTTGTGCACACAGACTAAAGGGAAAGTATTAGGACTTCAAAAAAGAGTGTTTTTTAATAACTCATCTTAATGAGTAAATGCTAACCTGGTCATCTGCAATAGCTTTAGCAAAGCGGGCACAGTCGAGTTGCAGGTAGATATCAGTCAACTGGTCGAGCAGCTTCTTGGGCTCAAAGCCGTATTTTTCAGGGTTCTCCACCTTAAGGTCCCGACATTTGGGGCCACAAAGCTGTTGGAGATTATAGTTCAGCATTGCAGCTAAGCGAGGTCCAAGCTCCTGTAAAAAGTTGTCAAATTAGACTCAGTTTTTTAAATTCTGTTTTGTTGTTTGAAACAATTAAAGAATCAAACACTCACAGGTCGGAGGAAAGGCTTCTGAACTTGCTTTGTGAGAATGTGAAACATTTCAACTGTTTCAGTGGCAAGGGCCAGGTAAGACCGAGAGACACGCTCATCCTGAGTCAACTGGGACTGACGGCTCTGCTGCTGCTCCTGCAAAAATAATTTCTGTCAATATAGATTGAACAACTATTGCACTGTTACACTGGTTGTTTATTTGTGTTTATTTGATCAGGACATTCCATGTTATTGAACATGGTATGCATTCTCTAAAGACAGGCATGGTCTCTCCATATCAAAACAAGTATGGATGCTTACAAAACAAAAAGAAAGGAAGAAAAAAAAAAAGAAAAAAAAAAAATTACAAAAATATCACAGGAGACTGAAAACATTGCGGATTTCTGCAATGAGTGAAACTAAGCTGAAATAAGCACATCTGACTGGACAGTTTGGTTCTGGCTTGAGATTTGAAGTCCTTGAAGTAGGAGACATCTGTAACAGGTGTGAATGCTGGACGTACTCTTATGATTCCACGTATCACCCTCATTCCATCTAACAACATCTTTCCATTCACCTTACGCCGTAAACCGTTTCCAATGAGACCATGCTTTGCTATGACTGTGAATAAGTCACAGGGTCAATCTTTACAGTGTGTAGGGGTCTTCTGCATAAGAGATTTCTTCAGCCATGGCCAATTCTATGTTGCTGCCAGTAGAATTGGTAGATCAAATAGACTTCAAATTCTTGAGCTAGATGAATAAACTAAGAAAAGCGTCAATTTCTGAGTAATGTTATTTATAAAGAGGAACTCACACTGTAAAAGCATCTCTTAAAGAAGCCACAATGTATACCCTCAAGTTCTGAAAATATGGCAAGACTGTGGAGGGGTTTGTGCTGTTTTAATAAAATCCATAACATAATTTTATTGTTACTTCCTGCTCCTTTCACCTGATACCATCAACTTCAACAATACAGTGGCACACAACAGTCTGGTACATCTTCTACAGGCTGTCCTAGTTCTCTAAATATGGCAGAGTGTGAGAGTGAATGCGGGACAGTACAAAGAGGTCCATGGCTACAGTCTTATACACCAGGGAACATGGACCCCGGAAGGTGTGTGAAGTGTCTTGGCCAAGAACACGATAACAATATGAACTACGGACACTGCTGGCCCTGAACCTGTTATTCTCATTGCGCTCCCACCCCAGAACTAACCAGGTCCAGCCATGCTTAGCTTCCAGAAGAGAATGTGCACCTTCAAGGTGGTGAGGCGGCTACTCTAAAACATTAAATGGTGTATTTTATTTATTTATTTTATTATTTATTTTAAAAACAAGCAGACAGACCCTTGGCAGTTGCTCCCACTGTTCCTTGTTCTTCATCTCCTCTTGCACTTCATGAATCCTCTTCAAAGATTCAAGGCTCTCGTCCAACAAGAAGGTGGTGTCATTGATGAGCATGTTGATGTAGCGCACAAACTGTTTACCAGAGCTAAAGGGGCAGACAGAATAAAAGGGCATGTTAGGTCGCATTAGAAAACCAGACTGGCAGATGTTATTTTAAAACTCACTTGAACTCCTCCATAAAGGTGCCATGATGACCCATGTTTTGCCACAGACTCTTGAAGATCGTACTGATATGGTACCGTATGGTAAACTTGTCATAAAACTCGCTAGTCGCACCAGTATGCTCAACATCTGGACAACCAATAAAACAATTTACTACCTGCCCACAGAATGGGTCTAGTTCAAATGTTATGCGGTTACATTACCAGTATAAAATTTCATGAGGGCTGGGACTAGCTGTTTGATAGACAGAGGGTGGTTTTCCATCATTTCAAAGAATCGCTGAGTTCGAGGCTGCACTGCAGGGTTAGTGACGAACAGCACCTCCACTAACTTAGCAATCAGGTAGGGGTTTCTGATGTAGTTCTGACTGCAGATGAAGACGATCAGGAAGGTCACAATGTCCTGCACACAGGGCTCATATAAAACCTGGGGGGAATACCTACAGAACAAAAAAAGAAATAAATCAGTCCAATGAGGTCAAAGGATGTAATGGTGTAGAGCCAAGAGACAACACTTACTGCACAACAAAAAGCAGAAATTCAGCCACATCCTCGATGTAGAACTCTGGCAGAGCAGCAAAACTTTTGGGGACCTCAGGGTTCAGGGGCAGGGTCATGCTATGTGAAGATGAATACAGTTATTCTTGTGTCTGCTTTAACTTTATAGAAAACATTAGAGAAATAGCATGGTGAAGTCTCACTGGGGGTAGGCGGGGTCCACCATACGAAGGATGAGCTGAATGACAGTGCTGTAAAACTGCAGAGATCTCCGGAGCAGGTTCTCATCCAAAAGACCCACATCAGCACAAGCTTTGGCGCGCACTAGTTTCTGAGAAGAGAGTTAATGGAGTAGAAGACATGTAAATAAATATACTGTCATACATTTCAAAATGTCAAGTGAGCCACATATACCTTAAGCTGAGTTTTGCATCTTTTGAGCATCTCCCTATGTCGACTAGCTAAGGGAGAGTCTTTCCATTGACTTTCACTGTTCTTCAGTTCTTCTACAGTCCTACAATGACAAAACAGATGACAGAGGTGTTACACAGGTGTTAAATGATAAAACAAGGGGAATTGTGCATGTTCGTGAATGCTTGACCTGTTGAGCTCCCGAATAGCCCGCAATCGGCGGATGTAGCGCCTACAGCTTGGCAGGATGGATAAATGATGAGTGTGCAAAGTCAAAAAGAAACACTCTGTGGGAAATTTGGGGTCTGAGAACTTTGAAGGGTCCTCATCTGTCAAATTCAAAAAAGAAGAAAGAAGAAGAAAAAATAGCTATGACTCAGGCATTTTTTATTTCAATTTTTAATTAGTAATCTATATTAGGTGTACTTACGTAGTTCTGTTAGCCATGTCTTGAGTTCCTCCATAGTAGCTTTGAGGCGTGTCTCTTCTGGACTAACAGCAAGGCGACATCGTGGGTGAAAAATATAAAACGGGTCCACAGTCTCCAGCTTGATCTTCATGCTCAGCTGCTGCAGCACCCACAAGAAGTTCAGCATGAAGCCATCAGTCGACACAAGATTGTCATTGGTCTAGACAAAGAGAAAACATACAGTATGAACCACTATAAACTGTACAATACGAATAATATTTTTACAGTTACATAAAAAGTCTAAAAGAATATTAGGGCTAATAGTCTAACCTGCATCTGGGCTTTTTTCACATTGTAGTTGACAAGAGCTGCCATGTAGTTGAGGGCCAAGTCACGAGTTTCTCCATTTAGTAAAATGTTATGGAGTATTTTGAAGAGGTCCCCCTGATGATGAAATAAAATTGGTTCACAATTTTACAATTATAAACAAAAATATGCCTAACAGATACAAAAACAAGACGTACTCTTGCAGATTCCAAGTAGTGCTGTAAAGACTGGCTGACGACTCGGGTGTTCTCCATTGTGATGGCTGGGCCAGAGAAATACTTGTCCCCAACTTTAGTCTGAGCAAGAACAAGGATCAAGTAATATTCAAGTGTCTGTTCATTGCATTGAATACACAGAGGAATTCTTCATTAATTGATAAACTTACATCATCCTCAGCAAAAACTGAGAGGCTGAAGAATGCTCCCAGATAAGAGAGTCTCTGGATCTCTCGCCCACAGCCAGGGCTCACAGTTTTGGGAGACCAAAGAGGCAATGATGTTACCTACAAGAAAGGAAAAAAAAACATGTCAAAATTTTTATTCAAGCACTTGACAAAGTGTCAGATTATGAGAAGAATCTAAGTAAAAATTTCTGCTTACCAAGTTGCACACTGGATGTGTCTTTCCAAATTTTATGTCACATAACTCAGCTAATGCCTTAGGGTAAAGAAATAAATTATTTAAAAGAATACGGAAAAATTATTTACTGAATAGATCTAATGTAGCACGTTTTTATACACTACTCTTTTCAGAGGAGAGGCAGTAATAGGCTACACGTACATCCTTTGAATGCCAGAAACTCATTAAGACATGAATCCTTTATTTTTCAACATTATTACTAACACTACGTATAGCTGCAGAAGGTAATGTTAAAAAAGAATTTTCTTACCATTAGAGGATATTTAAAGTTGTCGCTGTCGAAGGAACATTCTTTCACTGCCAATGCCAGACCATGGAGGATAGGAATGAAGATCTGAAATGAAACAAAAGTTACATCTAAGCAAATTAGTGAATGAAATATAGCAATACATGTTGGATAATCTGAGACAATTTTAAATTCTCATTATCTAATTACAAGTTACAATCAAGTTATAATTTTCTTTACAGGACAGTAATGGAATGATAACTAAAATGAAAGGACAGTGTTTTGTTGCAGTCCCCATCCATATTATTATCCAAAAAATTAAAACCATGTTTCCTGTAATATGTTTGCTTGCTGAACAGTGACTCTACCGTATTTTAAAATCATGAGCCATGTTAGATGCTTATTTAACACTGCAGTCCACTTTCACCTGTCTGAACACTTCGTCCTCCTGGTGGGTAATGCGGACCAGTTCTTGTATAAAGCCATAGGGAAGGTTGCGACACAGCATATAAGGGACCAGCAGAGAAGGCTGCAGAGGACTCCTGCATGAGTAAAAGAAAGATGAACATTCAGCAATAACACATGTAGGCCGTGAGCGAGCTGAAAATAGTTTCCATGGAGACTGGGATGCAATACAAAGGAATAGAGTAGAGCACACCAATAGCAAATGGCAGATAAACAAAGATATGATGATTAGATATGTCTAATGCGCTTCTTACCGGGGATGGGTCAGGGCGCCTTGAAGAACCAGAGCGACATGGGAGATACACTGGGAGCGAATGTTGCTGAGGAGCAGGCTGACATTTGGTTGGCTACACATCTATGAAAAACACAGGACAAGACACTTTCAGAGGTGTTGGAAAATGATGCTACCAGTTTTAAAGAAAGTCTCCCATGACTCAATGTGATTTCAGACACAATGTTCTCATTTTGAGGGACATACTGTGCTTTCACCAGTACAGTGCTTCATTACAAATGTCAACTGACAGGGGAAAGAGACTTAAACTTGCAAAAAGAGGATTGATTTTGAAAGTTCACATGAGCTAAGAGGTTTATCTTATTAAGTGCATAAGACACAGAAATGATAAAATGTTAATATTGTAAAAATTGTACCTTGGGAGCTTTTCTTTCCTCCATACCAACACTGTCAAAGCGCTCAATGAGGTAGTTCAGCATCTCTGTCTCTTTACAGGTTTCGATGGTGAAACGGTCACCTGCAGAGCTGCAGGACAGGCTCCCCCCACATGCACCAAGACTAAAAACAAAAACAATGACAAAGGACATTTAGACAAACGAAATGGTAGTGCATGCCTGTACTGCACAAAAGGTTAGTTATTTTCAGAATCCAGAGTAAAGTAAATGACAAAAATACATAAAAAAACAAAACAAACAAACTGTAAGACATAATCTGTAAAACATGAGGCAGCAAGCAAAAGTCATCCAGCCATTTCCAAAATTAACCATGTAGGATGTTTTTGACTAGTACCTGAAAAAATAGAACACAATGAATGAGTGGGTTAAAAGAAGTAACCTAAACAATGTGCTTGTTGTATTGCAACGGCAACATCATTAGAAATCATTTAAAAGTATTGTTTTTAATGTATCAAAATAGTAATATAGTATAGTTTAGTTCTATTAATATTAATATAGTTTTATTAACAATGGCCAGAATTGAACAAGTAGAATTTGAGCCTATAAATGTATTGAACTTACCATCTCTCTATTCATGAGTGCCTTGAGTGCGTATTATACAATCAAAAGTGTTTATCATTTTATGTACTTATTACATATTTTATCATAGTTGTTGTACTGTACATGTTTTATTCTATTGCATAGCCCTTCTTGTTGATAATATTTTCAAAGCGCTTCCCCTACCTCTCCAAAAGGTGCATGGACATAGTGGTTTAAATATAGACAGGCTCTATCGATCGCTCATTCGCTTCACCTTGGTGTGTGCTGTTAGAGGAACCGCACACTTTACAAGCACAAAGCACACACCGTGCGGCAGCGTGTACCTGGACCCAAACTGAACCCGAGAAAAATCCTCCTCCTCCTCAGACTCTTCATCACTGCTGTCCTGATTCATGTCAGACAGTGCAAAGAACAGGAACGACAAGGGGCTAACATAAAAGTGGACCAGACAAGGAAGTGAGGAAAGAAAACAAACAAAGTGAAGGTAAGAAAGAAAAAGAAGAAAATATGAAGATAAACATAGGAAAACCAAACATACTATAAAACAAAAAACAAAGGAAAAGAAAAGACCAAAGATGCTAACAAATACAAATGTATAGATATTAGAAGAACCTATAACTGCCACACAAAAACCTCTGAAGCCTGTTTCAATAAAGAGATGGCTATATCTGAGCCAGACTTACTACCAGCAGCAAACCATGCATTGTTAAAGTCATTAAGATAGTAATACAATACATCTATATATTTTAAGGGATGGGACTTAATGATCATTACACTTTCTTAACTATGCCAGACCCAGATGAACTACATGTTTGAGTAGTACAGTTTTTTGTTAGTTGTTAAAAAAACGGCCATGCACAAATCTTTTGAGATACCTAGATGGTGGAATCCTGGTAGCAAATGCAGCATGTCTAGCCCTCGTTCGAGGTGAAGGAGGCACCACAGGAAGCGGTGCAGTGGATGAATGGTTAGGAGCCCTGGGGAAGTTCAAAGACTGGGGGCTGGGTGGGGGCAGAGGGACCGGGGTGTTTGGTGGGACAATGGGTCCTACTGAGCTGGGAGATGGACCAGAGAAACTAAACGGTCTGTACCCAGAGCTAGATGGAGAAGGAGGTACCCAAGGAGTAGAAACGGCATAGGGCCGATAACGCTGGGAGATGGGCATAGGGGCAGAGGGAGAGTTTAATGCATGTCTGAGACCAGCTGTAGCAGGTGGGCTGGGGGGAACAATAAACTGAGGAGTGACTGGTGTGGATGGTAAAGAAGAAGAGGAGGAACAAGGGGATGGAGAGGTCCACGTGGCTGCATCCAAAGCCATTGGGTGAGGACTACCACACCCATAAAGACTGAAAATAACATTGAACGTTTAATGATAAACAGCTTAAATAGTAGTGACAGATATGACTCTTTATCACAAGTTCTGTGTATTAAATGCTAAAAATGCTAAGACTTGCCTGGACAAAGAGCTGGCTCCGAAGGAGGCCGTATTGGGGCCCATAGGGCTGCCACCTTGGCTGGAGGGCTGTACCAGGGTCAGGCGGTGGTCAGGAGATTTGGCTGCTGCTATTGGCTGAGAGGTGGCAGTCAAGCTCGCAAAAGGGTTATGGACTGAAGACTGTGTGGACATCGTCAAAACCTCCATCAGGATCTGACTGATCAGGTCTTTGAAGTCAGCATAGACTGCACAAATCATAACATATTGCTTAGAAAACATATATAGAACAGTATGGTGTTTTTAAACATTCACTATTGTTGATAAAGCCTACCATCTTTAGGGTTGTGCTGAAAGTCAGCAGCAAGTGAAGGGAGAAAGATGACATCTCTGTCCTGCTCCTTCCATGACACACGCAGGATCTTACACATGAGCTGCAGAGCCTGCTCCTCGGACACATCTGAGTTTGAAGCTGCTTCCTGAAGCAGTAAAGAGAGTAGTTAGTAGTAGTTAGAGTAGATACACTCTGGCAACAAAAACTGAAAAGTAATGCTTTCATTTACCTTTTCAGTCAAGTTTCTCTTTTCTCTGCGATCACTGTCATCCACCTCCATGTTCTCTATTCCTGAGTCCACGTCCACCTGGGACATGCTGCAATAGACGATTTTATGAACAGTAGTTCTGAGTAGAACTGAATCTTCACACATATTAAGAAACCACTAACATAATTATTTAGTGTGTATAACACACATTTACTTTCTCATAATTTTAATGCAACCAAATTGTACCTCTTTTCACAGGAGGCCGTATCTATATCCATGCTCTGTGATCGGGACAAACTCTGGGACTGGGTCTCAAGGCTATTGGAAGGAGAACTGGAGAGGGAACTCACACCCTCACTGCTCTGACTCCCAAAAGCCACTCCTACAAACAAAAGTCAAGAAACATGTCTTATAAAAACCCTGGACAGAAATTTGTTATTTGTGCTTAAATATTATTAGTCATCAAGTTCCTACACAGTGGCACATTCAAAGGTGAAAATGTGTAACACAAAATGGTCAAAGACAGATGGTTCTGTTAAAACACTCCACATGAGTACTCCATAAACAAAAGAAAACAAAGGATACAGTTTCACCCACATGAGCTGCTTTTTCTAGAGCCAGTGAAATATTCAGCTTGCTTTTTCATATTTCTAGGACACTAATGGTCATGATCACAGCTTTAACAGTTAATGCTTTTACTGGTCAAATATCAAGGTCACAAAGATAAAGGTATCTTTCTGAGAGCTATAACCAGAGGTGTAAAGGTTATTTTATTTATTTATTTATTTTTTGTGAACAACTCGAAGTGCTAAAATGTCTTGACACTTATTAACTATTTGCTAGAAGGACTAAAGGACGATTCTTACCAGACGTGCCCATGGGGGATGTGGCAGGGGTACCACTGTGGACATTAAGCCCCAAAGACTGAGAGGCCGCTGATGGCATGGGCTGATTTGCACCTGAGGGTCCGGGAAGGGGTCCAGGCGGGGTCTCTCTCTGTGGGGAGGTCAAAGGTGTGCTGAGGGGGGTACAAGGCTGTGACGTAGGCCCCCCTGCCAGTCGGGCCAGTCTCCTTCGACGAATCTTGAATGACAATTTAAATTCAATTTAGTTACAAAAAATATATAAAAAAGACAAACCTTAACCTCCCTGTATCATATATACAAAACACATGTCTAACGTTCACCCATACGGTACATGCATTTTACAAGTTAAATTGTTTTTTTAAATCTAGATGAAATATGCATGGTGCGTATGAAACGAAGCAATAGTCCACTTGGCCAAATACCGGGGCACGTTGGGGAGCGGGGATTGCACAATGGTGGCCCAGTTTGTTTTTATGCTGAGTCGCCTTCCAGGCTAATTTTCGGATGTTAGCAAAACAACGTTAGCAAATGACAGCTAGCGTTCTCCAAACGACACGTCAATCAAGTCAGACACAATTAAACGACGACAAACTCTAAATTCATCAAAGAAAACAACATGTATACAATCTGAACACTATCTCTAATATGGATCAATTTAGCAGGAGCTAGTGAGTAAGCATCTTACTCCGGTGAAAATAATGAACACTGACAGGAAGGTTTGACAAAAGACTATCGTTGATCTGCCAAAGTGAACAGAACTATCCGGGTATATTCTCCATTAGAGTTTTAAACTAGCGCCAGGGAGTCTCTTATAAGTCTGTCACGTAGTTCATTTAACTCTCTCGTTGTATTTTTGTCTTTAGAACTTAAGGCTAGCTTGTGTTCATGAGAAACACTGGTAACGTTAGCAGTAGTATCAGGAGACACGGACTTCCACATAATAAAACCCCTTTAAATATCTGTATGTCACATTCTATTTAGATTAAAGGTTAGTATAAAAGTTTATTGCGCTAAATTTACGTTTTTCTACTTTGTCATCTTACCTCATCTGCGCTCAACTCCTCCATTGCAGCTAAATTAGCTTAGCTCCCTGTTTCACTTTCAGCTGCCTTCTAATGTATGCCAGCCAGAGCCAGCTAGCTAGCTTCTATCTGAACTAAAAATGCATAGTCAAGCTCCTCTTGTAAATGGGTGTCAGCAGTGATTGTCTTCGAGTCAGTAACCAGCGCGCTAATATATATAGGATGGCAACAAACTGCTCCCCAAAACAAGATTTTGTTCGATTTACAAGGAATGAAACAAAAAGAAAAGCGGCTAGCTAGCGTACGTCAAAATACAACAGCGGCCATTTTGGATCTACACCACCGGGGTCACGTGACTCGAGAGCTATACATTGATATAAGAGTAGAGGACATCCCAAATGTATATGAGGCACCAGGGCTGTACAACAGTTATAAGACACCGTTTTTATTTATTTAAGACAACTGACCTGGAAAGGCTTTCAGATGTCACACTGCTTTGTTTTGACACGTTTTTTATTATTATTATTTTCATTCTTTTTTTTAGAAATGAGCGTCAAGAAATAAGAAAATATATTTACACGTTGTAAAATCGTACATTAACACAGAACAGTCATTTTATTTCAGCCAGCTGAAAAAAGCGACTATCCAGCAGCAACCTTGACACCAGTGCCACCTAGTGGTGTAACTATAGAAGACTGAAATAAGGCCACATAACTCAAGAACTATTCCTTCAGTGTAATTTCCACATAGCTAAGCTCATGCATTTTTCTTGAAAACTTGCTTGCAGATTTCTCCTTCACAGTACAGCTCCTACAGAGGCAAAAGACAGCAATGATCATTATTTGCTCCACTTTTCACAAACAGAGTTGTGCTTGTATTTGAGTCATACCAAGTGTAATTTGTCATCTTCGATCCAGTGAGTCCAACCTCGGTTCTTCTTCTCTCCAGTCTGTTCACACACCAATTTATGTCCCTCCCACTTCACCAGTGACTGCACAGATGGCACACCAAAAGCAAGCAATTGGTGTATGGACAAAACAACATTATGAATAGACATTAGAAAGAAAATAACATTATTTAGAGCAGTTTA